CCCCAAGGGGGATAGCTACACTACAGTCCCTTCTTCATTCTTCTCAGGATTTTGGCCAAGCACACACACATGCCCAACGTGACTTTCAAGATGCTGGGTCCTGGATTCGAGCCACACAGCCAGCACGTGGGAGCCGCTTTAACTCCATACTACTCCTGTGGGCCCTAGGAAGATTCTTTTCAGAGTTTCATCTTATTTTACTTGAACTTAGATATTTGAACTTTATTAAAGCAAAAGTATTGAGGGAACTTCGGAAAATGGCTTTGATTTTTCCTGTATAATATATGCAAATAACCGAGACCTACATATTTAGCCTTTATTATTGACCCACTGAATGCATTTTCCGTTTTTCATGGTAAAAATGTGAATCTAGCTCTTCGAGATGGATTTGTAAAGAAGAATGAGCTGTAGGAACCTTTCTTTCCTTTCTCAAAGTACCATAGTTGAAATATAGAAATTATTTTTAAAGGGACACTGAACAGTAACTAAACATTATCTAATGATTTGTGGAAATAGGAAGGTATGAAAGTTTTTCCTTATTGCATAGAAAGAGGTATAGGAATTGTAGTAGTATTTATTTCCTATTTCTTACCTGTGGGATTGGCCTCTCACGCTGTGTTAGGGATATTCCAGGTAACAACAACGTCTTTGACTACATTAAAGGAAGGTAGAGATTTCAGTTCAGAAAGCCCTTCATAATCAGAATTGACAGGTCTCAAGCCATGTTTCTCTCTTCCTTAGGATTCCATTGCTGGTTGAATTATGGCACAAGGACAAAATGAGTAAAGATTTACTTCTGGGAATTGCAAGAATCCAGCTTTCTAACATCTTGTCTTCAGAAAAAACTCGCTTTTTGGGTTCTAACGGGGAACAGTGCTGGCGTCAGACTTACAGCGAGAGCGTGCCTGTCATGGCAGCCCAAGGGTAACGCTTCTCTCACGTCCACCAGGCCTCGCTTCGACTTCTGTTCACACGGCGGTTCTGATCAGCTCCGCGGCCTTCTCTTCTTGTATCCTCTTTCTTCTGACCTTCCTGTCTGACCTGATGAGGGCTGTTTGCTCTTCAGCTTTCTGATACCCACTTTACCTCACAAAAATAAAGAATCTGCAACTATAGTACTGCAGTACTGTAGTACTCGGGCTGTGAAGTACTTTCTATCCCCTCTCTTAGCCTAACAGTTTTAACATTAGGGTCTGATTTTTTTTTTAGTTTCATAATTCAGAGTTAAATTTTAATGTGTTTTTGTTTTGTATTGGAATTAGTTGTGATTGTCTTACCACTTTAAAAATATTTGACCTTCTGCCTCTAACATCTGAGAATGTTAGGAATATTTGGCAGTTTTTAAAATAATTAGTTTTTTGTGTTCATCTTTGTCCTGAACTTCATTGTCATGATGAAAAACTCAAAATTTTCTCATATTTTAAACAAAACGGTGTATTTGTCAAATTAATTTAAAACAGAGCAATGAAGGTTTACATTCAGTTTAACCCCATGTCTCGTATTCTTAAAGCACAGTAAGCGTGTAGGAGGAGGTCAGACTCCGCTCACACTCAGAGTCTGGAAGTACTGCTGACGTCTCTCCTTGCACACCCACGGCCACGGCCACGGCCACCTCAGAGATGGACGGACGCAGTACAGCCACCGTGTGCTTGCAAGATACGGGAGCAGGTGCCGCAGAGAATCAGATACTGCACGAAACGAGCACCCTCCTGGTCTTGACACTATTTTGAAAACTCTCTCTTAAAAATTAGCATTGTTTTCAGTCATTATAAATAGAATATAATCAAATCATTCATAAATAAAGATATTTTAATGCCATTTATTGTAACTATTAATGTCTGTTGCCTGGCTCTGTAGATCAAAACATTTTAGGAGATTTGCCTAAGTGAGAACTTCGTGTATAGTGAGGAGTTTCTCTCAGTATAGCCGTGTTTGATTTTATTTTATTCATTCCTCCTAAAATTTGGGATGAGGAGAAGAAAATGTGAAAGTTGGTTAATTAAGAGTTCTAGTTATGTGAGATCAGTTTATTAAAGTTTTGTTTGACTGGAATGAATGTGACTGAAACAAAGCCATGCCGCTTGTTACTTGTTTTTTTGTGATCAAGATTTTATTTTTTACTGATCTTTTGCTTTTATTTATCAAGTAATAAGCGTCGCATGCAGGTCTGTGATTCAGAAAGTGCTAGTGATCATCAGAATAACATATAATCACCCTACTTTTAGGAGTTAACCTGACCCAGCAGTGATAGCCAAGAAGAGATTGCATACAAGTGTGTGCCTCCTAGGGAAAGTAGACAGGCAGGATTGAGAACAGCCTCTGTAAGCAAGAGCAGGGAGTTGTTACACTTACTTTACTACATAAATTTGTTAGTATATCTTACACTGTTTTCTTAATTAACAAAAGGAAGAAAACTCCTCCCAATGGGGTGTCATCATGCCTCCGTCTCTTCTCCATTTCTCCATCCTGGAGTTTGGGGCATGCACGCACACCCAGCATGTTTGTTAAGCTCCGGGCGCCAGCATTCAAACCCCTCACCACTGACTGGCTCCCTTAACTATTAGACTACTGGGCCGGCCCGTCATTAGCATGTTTTATAGGCAGTAAGGATTATTGTGTTAATGTTCATGATATGAAGAATGGTCCTGGGACCAGCAGTTAACATAATGGCTATGTTGCAGGACTCCCACGTAGTTGACCGCGGTTCGCGTCCCGGACTGGGTGGCTTAAAACTCACGCCAGGTGCGGGTGCGTGCGTGCCCAAGATCCCAAGAGGAGAATGGAGGAGAAGGGATTGTGGCATGGCCATCCCCCTTGGGGGGTGATTTCTCGCTTTCTATCTCTCTCTCTCTGTCTGGCGAGCGCACGCGCCCTATAGCAAAAACCTCTCAAAAAAAAAGAGTGGTTCTGATGTGAATAGGGAAGTATGCTAACATGTGTGCATGTGTGTCTACATGCAGACACAACAGTAAGGAGATGACCTGAGGGTCAGCGGTAATTGCCTGTGGGCAGTAAGATTTTAAATTTCACCTTTATACTTTATATTGATCAAAAAACAAGTATAGCCATTGAAGGTCATTTTTCAGTAAATGTACATTTACTCAGTAGGATGTTTGTAGTGATCAAATGGAGCCATGTATTTGGAAGGGCTTGAGGTCTGGAGAGGCTGCCTCAGTGTCAGGGTTATACAGGTTACTCTTCAACCCTAAAGCACTAGGGAAATAAAAGGAAGGTAATATACAAGCATTCCCGTGAGTTGTAAGATATTTTTCTTATTCATAGGTCAAATAACAGGATAGTAGATCTTTCTTACACAATGACTCTAGAAGATCATGGACTAGTTAAAATGCATGAAATTTTTGTCTCCGAATCATCTCAGGTAAATATAATTAAACGTTACCAAGTGAGTTTCTGAGAGATTGAATGTTGCGTGTGTTTGTTTAAATGTGCCTTCTGATTCACATCTTAGGGTTTATCTGCTGCACACCAAAAGCCATCTTCTCTTCCTCCAGTACCTTGTAACTCAGAGGTCCAGACAGAGCCTCGGCAAACCTTGGAGTACAAAGCGGCACTTGAGCTAGAAATGTGGAAGGAGATGCAAGAAGACATTTTTGAAAATCAGGTTACTCTTGAATGCTACTTTCATTTACTTTTAGTTACTTTTCGGTTTTTGTTTAATTTAGTGACTTCTAGTTACTCTTCTATTTTTGCCTACTTAGTTTTATTGATTTATTTATATTTTCATTTTTGCTATGGGGCACTTGAACTTGCCAGAGAGAGAGAGTGAGAGAACTGATCCCCCAGGAGGGGTAGCCACACTGCAGTCCTTCTCCATTCGGGCATGCACGCACGTTACCCAGTGTGATTTTTAAGCCACCAGGGCTGGGACTTGAACCCCAGGGCTGGCTATGTGGAATCCAGCACATTAACCTCCATGCCACCTGCTGGCCATGTTTAGTGTATTTTCCCTTCTCCATAGCAGAATTTTTTATGTTCCTTGTCTCGTTTCTTTGAATATCAACAGTGCCTTAACTCTTAAATAAAAATGGAACATTAAAAAGTACTTTAAATGTGAGGGACCAGCAGTTAGCGTAATGGCTGTGTCGCTTGACTCCCGTGTATATAGTCAACCGTGGTTCAAGTCCTGGACCTGGTGGCTTAAACTCACGCTAGGCACATGTGCACACGTGCCCAAGATCCCAAGAGGAGAATGGAGGAGAAGGGATGGTGGCGTGGCCATCCCCCCTGGGGGGTGATTTCTCGCTTTCTCTCTCTCTGTCTTTCTGGCAAGCACACATGCCCTATAGCAAAAAAAAAAAAAAACCTCTTCCAAAAAGGAAAAAAAAACAAACAAACTTTAAATGTGACAAATTAGCAGAAGCTACTCAGAAGAATTCCCTTAATTTTTTTGTCCAAATTCTTGTGCAACATTGGGAATGAAGGGTTTTTTCTTTCTTGCTTTGTCTTAATTCATGATAGAATTTGTATGTGAGCTGGCATGTGTGTGTGTGAGAGAGAGAGAGAAGCCCCTTGTGCTGTGTCTGCTCACACCGTGACTGCCCTCCTTCAGTCCTCTGCTTGTCCAGACCTTGGGCACTGGCGTGCGTGCCTGGCACATTTTGGGCCGAGTGGCCAGGAATTCAAACTGCAGTTACGTGGTGTCCAGCTCCTTGCGAGCAGAGCATTACTGCTGTGCGAAGGAGCTGACCCTGATGATAGTTCTTTGAATCTTGGGACTCAGTCAGCATAAACTGAACCTGGCATCACCGGTCTCCAAGCAAGAGACAGAAAACAGAACTCACCAATAGCTTTACACTCTCCCGAACTACGCTCCGTGGTGTTAACTTGTCTTAGATATCTGCTTTTTCCTTGCTTCTTCTCTCTCTCTCTCTTTTTTTTTTTTTAATAAAATGCCAGAAAAAAAATAGTATTAATTTTTTAACTGGAACCAACTGATTTCTTTCATGAAAGCAGCTGAGTTTTTGGTGATGTGTTTTTCTTCCTTTCGTAGCTAAAGCAGAAAGAACTGGCACACATGCAGGCTCTTGCAGAAGAGTGGAAGAAAAGGGACCGAGAGAGAGAGTCCCTGGTGAAGAAAAAGGTGACAATGTGTGTATGAGTTCAGGAGAATGTCAGTCATGACCTCTTGTGTGTGCGTTAAATAAGGCCTCTAGAAGGAATAGCGGATTAGAGGGCCATGTGGGCTTGGACAAAGGGAAGCACAGAGGGATCAGGGCAGGACAGAGGCCTGTGTTCTTTCATGCTCTTTGGATTTTGAAACACTCAAATGGATTTGAAAGACGCATACATATAAAAAATGAATAGAGAAAATGCCTGTATGCACACATGCATCTGTGTGAACAAGAAAATAGTGCATTTTAAGTATATATAAAAATTACATTGTAATCTCGGGAACCAGCAGTTAGCGTAATGGCTATGTCGCTGGACTCCCACGTAGTCGACCGCGGTTCGTGTCCCGGACCCGGTGGCTTAAAACTCACGCCGGGCACGTGTGCGTGCATGCCCAGGATCCCAAGAGGAGAATGGAGGAGAAGGGATTGCGGCGTGGCCATCCCCCCTGGGGGGTGATTTCTCGCTTTCTGTCTCTATATCTCTCTCTGTCTGTCTGGCGAGCACACGCGCCCTATAGTGAAAATCTCTCCAAAAAAAAAAAAAAATTACATTGTAATCTCTAAGCAAAAAGCCTCAAAACCTTTTAAACTATTTTAAGAATTCAGTCATGAGAGACCAGCAGTTAGCGTAATGGCTATGTTGCTGGACTCCCATGTAGTCGACTGCGGTTCGAGTCCCAGAATCGGTGGCTTAAACTCATGCCGGGTGCTTATGCGTGCATGCCCAAGATCCCAAGAGGAGAATGGAGGAGAAGGGATTGTGGCGTGGCCATCCCCCCCCTGGGGGGTGACTTCTCATTTTCTATTTCTGTCTCTGTCTTTCTGGCGAGCGCACGCACCCCATAGCAAAAACCTCTCCAAAAAAAAAGGACTTCAATCATTTCAATCATGAAATAAATCACACCTTAAAATGATAATGAAAGCGTCTGATCTTATTACAGAAAGCAAAAATTCAAAATTAATCTATTTACAAGCAAATTATTGAATAAAAACAACTCTGACAATGAGCCTTCTCTTCGATTATTCCCATTTTAGGACTTCAAAATTACTCTCGTTAGTACTTCACCACTGTTTGCTCGAGCTTTGAAGCGAAAGCCCTGCAGGTCTCCAGAGCTTCCTCGTTGTGCATCCCTCCTTCCTTCACAAATCGTTGCTGCCTCAGTCTCTCCAGTCTGCTTCGTCAGCTTAGCTGAGGGCTAGCCTCTGTTCGGGTTCCTCTTCCTGGAGCCATGGTCCAGAAACTGCCTCCAGGCAGAAGCTAGTTACTGTGAGCTTGCCTTGTTTAGTTTCCATCACTTCGAAATCACAGTCCTTTGGTACTTGTTGCCTGATATCTGAAAACAGTTGTTTCATCTTTTATTTGATTATTTTTAAAAGTTTTTGCTGTAGGGCATGTGCACTCGCCAGAGAGAGACAGAGACAGAGAGGGAGAAAGAGGGATAAAGCGAGAAATCACCCCCTCAGGGGGATGGCCTCACCACAATCTCTTCTCCTCCATTCTCCTCTCAGGATTTTGGACACGCATGCACACGCGCCTGGCGTGTTTTTCAAGTTCCTGTGTCCCGACTGGAACTACGTAGTCAGCCATGTGGGATCCAGCCACCTTAGCCATGTCACTGGCTAGTCCTTCCTTTATTTCCCTTTTACTTTTATCTACATTTATTTTCTGCTGAATTTATTCTATGCCATAGTTTTTATTTCTTCAGTTTCTTCTGGGAGAGCTGCTTCTTCTGTGCAGCCTCTTTTGTGGGTTAGGGGCAGTTTGCTCCTTTGCAGAAAGGACTGTCTCAGTGTGGCCAGGGAGTTCACTTGTGGGTGATCGGACCATGAGCTCTGTGAGTGTGTTGGCATGTCCGAGGTCCCTTGTTCACCTGAATATCCTCAGTGACCAGAGAGTCTGTAACCACACCCTTAAGTTCAGCATTACTCTCTGCATTTTTAATCATGTGCGGCAACAGTTCAGCACTCTTCATGGGCCACCTGCCCGCATCCAGTCACATTGTCGGCCTGGGCACACCCACCAGCAGCACCCTGGTAACGCACAGTGGCACACTCTGCTCTGTAACGTGACGTCCTCTAGGGACTGGGCGGTTTTGGGATATGCATACTCTTGAAGACCTGGGCAGTTTACAGGTGTTCTTAAAGTAAACACAAAGATTTGAACCTCCTGATTTGCATAATTTTGTGGGATTCTCTGGGTCCAGTGGATGGCATAATGTTTTCAAAGATAGTCTCCGGCCACTTAGGAGAAAAGAACCATTTCAGCTTCGTCTATGTAATGTTCAACCATTAAAGGCAGAGGTGTGGTGGTGACACCGCGGGACCCACAAGAGAATGCTCCTGGTTTGTATTCTGACTGCCCTGGGCACACCCGGAGCGTGTATGCATCTCCATGATTCGGCGTGTTCGAGGCCGAGAGGATCCAGTGCGAGGGCTCTGTTAGGGACGCCTGTCTCTCTTTTTCTCTCTTATTCTCTCTTATGGAGTAAATAAGTAAACTTAAAAACAAAATTAATAACCCATGAGTCTTTAAAAAATGGTAAAAGATAAGATTTAAAGTGTCTTTAAAACCTTTATTCTTAAAAACATTCAGATAATAGTTAACATTACAATAATTAGGAGCATTCATTGCACTTAAACATTGCACTGTTACTTAAAAGCGAGTTTTTTATTAAGCGAAATTTACTGACTTCATGTATTACATATTAATGAAATCTGTGGGAGCTAGAAAATACTGTAATTTTTAGAACTTTTCACTTAGCCTTTAAGACAAGACGAGTTTATCTTTGAAACATTTTTTTCATGCTTTTGAAGAGTGTTTCAGTATTGAGGTTTGCAAAGGTCAAATCATGAAAAAATTTGAAACAAAATTGTTAAAACTGACAGATCCACTTGTGTAATAATTGAACTTTGTCTTTCAAAAATAGTCAGTTTCAATATAATATTACAAAAAGTAATCACATAATTTTGGGTTTATTGTCATTTCAGTAATCTTTTCAAGTGAAATTTTTTCTTTGTTTCATCATTTCAGCTTGAAGCGATGAGTTACTAGCTAGTTAATACCTCCAGCTCAACAACAGAATATGATACTCGAGCTGTTTATTTGAATTAGTCACATTGTGAAAGATTTGAGTTTGCCGTTTTCTTTCAACCTCTGTGCATTTTGAGACTAAATACTTTGTCTTTAAGCTTCCTATATTGAAAGACTGTTTCGAACTAGGACATGTTAACATACATGATAAGTTTTAAAAGCCACTTCAAAATCAGTAGGGAACCCAAAGCAGTTTCTCTTCAGTGTGATAAAGTCATTTAAAACTAACTGCTCCCTAGGAATCTAACTGGAGTAGTTTTTAAAAAAGAATTATTTAATTTAATTTTTCATTATTATTTCTTTTTTAATTTGACCAGAAAGAGACAGAGACAGGGAAAGTGAGAGAGCAAGTTGCTAGGTCTGGGACTTGAATTGCAGTTGGCCATGTGGGAGTCCAGCATCTTGACCACATTTTAACCACTGTGCCACCTGCTGACCCCACTGTACTATTGTTTTCGTTTTTTTTTTTTTTTTGCCTTAGTGCATATGCACTTCCCAGAAAGAGACAGAGACAAACACAGTAAGAGGGAAAGTAGGAAATCGCCCCCCAGAAGGAATGACCACTCCACAATCACTTCTCCTCCCCGATAGCTTGGGCATGCATACACACAGCACCCAGTGTGATTTTCAAGCCACCGAGTCCAGGACTTGAACTGTGGTCAGCCATGTGGGAGTCCAGCGATGTAACCACTACTCCATCTGCTGGCCCTGCCCCCACTGTAGCAGGTTTTTATGTCCATAATGTATGAGCCTTTTCTGTTAATTTATTTTTATTTCATTAAACTGACATTCCTTAAAAACAATTCATAACTTTTTTTTTTTAATTTTTTACATTTTGTTTTTTATTCAAGAATTTACTCACAGGCAGCACTTTAAAATCAGGCTTTTAAAATTAAAGGCCAAAACTAAAAAAATCTTGCAAGTATGACACTGCTAAAAGAATGATCGCCTTAATAGTTTAAAGCCTAAAACATACATCGTGGGGTGTTAAAGTCTACACACAGATTGTGTAACACCAATGTCACTGAAAATAAACAACCAAAACCACAGATGGTGGATAAATTTGTCAATGAAGATAAGCATCAGTTTCAACCAAATACCATGCAAGTTTATCTGAAAGAGGAGCGTGTATGTGTGCATCAGAATGGGCAGATTATGGAGAAAAGGGAAATTGGGTATTAGAGATGATATTAAGGAGGTTTCCAACCTCAGATCATAAGGGGCCATCAGTATGGCCCCGGGACCCAGCTGGCTTCCTTAGTCAGCTCATGTCCTCACTCTCCAGAATCATTCATTTACACTGGTTTGGTTTTGTTTTGGTTTGGCTTTTTTTTTTTTTTTAAGAGAGATTTTTTGCTATAGGACACATGTGCTAGGTGAGAGACAGAAACAGAATTCAAGAAATCACCCCCCTGGGGAGGATGGCTACACGGCAGTCCCTTGTCCTCCATTCTCCTCTGGGGATTTTGGGCATGCATGCACATACACCTGGCTTGAGTTTTAAGCTGCTGGGTCCCAAGACTCGAACCATGGTCGACTACATGGGAGTCCAACGATGTAACCATTACACCACCCACTGGTTCCAATTTGCAGTGTTTTTAAATAAACAATCCTCCCTTATCCTCACCCAATTCCATCTCTTCCTTTCACAAGCACTTACCCCATTGGCTTTCCTGAATATTTTTTCCAAGAATTCTGCTGTCCACACTGGCCTCTGCTTCCTAGTTTTCATGTCTCTCTGTCCCAGCCTACTGACTTTCTTGGCTTGCCCCAGGGGCCTCGTTTCCAAATCTCTTTTTCTTCCTCTCTCCCTACGGTCATATCCATTTGTTTTTTTTGGCATTTTGTATATTGAACTGTACATTTACACACACACACACACACACACACACACACGCACACACATGCGTTTGCATTTTATATATCCAACTGTACACTTACACACACACACACGCCTGTCGCTTCCACCCTAATCGCTCTCCTGGGCTCTGCTGACTGTTCAGCGGCCCACACTGCACTGTGCTGCTAGTTGGCAGTGTAACACGTGACATGATTTGACATGCAGAAAACCCAGTTTTTGTCTCCATCCTCTGTGTATTTGCTTCTGTTGCTTCTCCCCTTAATAAATGGCACTACCTTTTACTCAATTGTTCAAGTCAAATCATTCTTGACACTTCTTTTGCATTTAGTCCATTCATAAATCCCACTGGCTTCCCATTCAGAGCGTATCCTGGAAACTGTCCACTTTCTACCTCCATCACGGTTTTCCTAGCTCGAGCCAGCATGACCTCTCTCCTCGAGTACCGCAGTCTCGGTATCCGTTCCTCCACTCCACACCCCTTACCTGGTTACCTCCATACCAGCCCAAGCTGAGTTCGATCATGTCCTCTTCTACTTCGTACTTGGCACCCTGCCCCCGGCGCTGCGAGTACCGCTGAGTGCTGACAGGACCGCAGGGTTAGTGGGGTCTGTGCCCCGCGTTCTCTCCGACCTGCTTCGTCAGCTCTGCTCATGCCATCTCTTCCAGCCACTCTGGCCTTCTCATAGTTCTCAGACATGCTGTCACCTCCGTCCTAGGATCTAGGGAACACGTTTCTTCCAGAGATATTCCCTGATCTCTGCTCAGGCCTTTCCTGAACACTGAAAACCTGCTCCTTCGTCCTGCTCCTAGATACTGTCTGTCCACTCTGCTTTGCTTTCTTTATGACATTTGCTTCTCTTTATATTAAATACCCAGCTGATTAATTGTAGTCCCTCTTCCCTCACGGTACAAGTTCCACAGGACTTTGTTTTGTCCAGCATATGCTGGGTACAATAAGTAGCTGTCATAGCAGGATCAGGCCATCTCTCCACTCATTCTGAGTGTTAGAGGTGTACGAGGAAGAGGGACAGTTTCAGCAGCATTCACGTCTACCGGTCCGAAACTCTGGGAGGTTGACTTCACAGTACAAGTTTGGGAGTTCGTAGCACAGGCTGTGTGGTAGACAGGCTCACTCAAGCTGGTCGTGTAACATGAGAGAAGAATCCTGGCACTGAACTCGAACACGGGTACTTGAGTATTAGTGATTTGGTTAAGGATGGAAGACAGTGTTTATCATATTTTGGGTGAACTAAAACCAGATGATAGAATTAATAGAATAAATTTGGAAATGATTGCTATGCTGGGCCTAACTTACCAAATGAAGTTTAACAACAGCAAGTGTCAAATTCTGCAGTCAGATTGAAGTAGGCACTTGGACAATAAGCATAATCATGCCAAGTTTAAACCAGTGAGACTCCTGGACATTCCTTTACTGACGTTAGCAAACAGTGTGACCGGGCCCCTTCTAGTTCAGCCGGGGTTCTAGAGCAGATTATCAGAGCCAGCTTGTTGTAGTCTGGCGGTACACTGTCTTCGGTCTCTCAGACCAGTGAGAGCATAGCTGGGTGTCTTTTTTTTTTTTTTTTTTTTTTTTTGGGGGTTTTTTTTTATAGGGCATTTTTGCTTGCCAGACAGACCTAGAGAGACATAGAGACAGAAAGAGAGAAATCAACCCCCTCCCCCGCCCCAGAGGGGATGGCCAAGCCGCAATCTCTTCTCCTCGGGATCTTGGGCACGCATGCACACGCGCCCGGTGTAAGTTTTAAGCCACCGGGTCCAGGACGGGAACCACAGTCGACTACGTGGGAGTCCTGCAACATAGCCATTATGCTAACTGCTGGTCCCTGGATGTCGTTTTTGAACCTCCACCCTAGATTAAATACAAGATACCAGAAGACGTGGAAGGCGTAACATATGGATAAAAGCTGAAGTGTGTGTTTATCTTCGAGAAGGAAAAAGGAGTGGGAGGTGTGTTAGGATGAGGCCTGGGACCAGGAGCTTGGCTGGTAAAAAGGAGAGACAAATTTATCAGAGTCCTGATAAGAAAGTATCAATCTTAAGTTGAAAAAAAATTAAAGTTAAATAAAAGAGCCAGGAGAGAGTCGCATAGGCCGAGCAGATAGGCCTCTTAATCCTGAGTGGGACTCATGCTCTCAGAGCAGAGCAGGCTAGAGCTCCGTGCAGGGAGTCTGACGAGATGACCAGGTACTCCGTTACTGGGATGGGGTAGGTGGCCATGTCTGAGCCAGGAGGACTGACGTGTAACCCGCTAGTGGTCGAGCAGGGAAGTTTGTTCTAAGTAAGCGTGAACGACTGAGAGGGCTTCGGCGCAGTACTGGAGTCCGAGTATGGCAGGTCTAGGTGTCCACTAGGAGCACAGGCTTTTCCTGGCAGTCCGAGTGCCCAGAGAAGGGCTTCCTGAGGAGGCTGCGTGTCGCCCAGACCCAGAGCGCGGGCAGGGCACCGCAGGCCTTCTGCTTTGACTTGGTGACTTTCCTGTCCTCTGTCTCGGTGAGCTGATGCGTGTTCGTGTATTCTGAATATTGGAAAAGCCACGGTAACTTTTCCTCTGCTACATTTTAGGTGGCCGAATACACTATTCTAGAAGGAAAACTGCAGAAAGCCCTCGTGGACTTGGAGAGGCGAGAGCAGCAGCTTGCCAGCGCGGACTCTGAGGTACTCCTCCCACGTTGCGCCCTCCTCTCAGTGGGCATGCCCCGGCTCAGACCGTCCACCGCCTTTGCTGCATACTGAGGTAGAACGTGCTGGCCGGAAAAGCCGTGACGTGTGTTCCTGTGCAAAAACACCACGACTTTTCCGACAACCTAGTATTTCACGGGTACAGTTTTCGTACATCCTGGAGAAAATTGTGTGTTTTGTATGTTAGGATGTGTAGTATCAATAGTAAGATGTTTGTTTTCGAAATAGTGAACTGTCATTTAGCCAGCACTGGCGGACCTTTTTTTTTTCTTTTTTTTGCTATAGGGCACGTGCGCTCGCCAGAAAGACAGAGAGAGACAGAGAGACAGAAAGCGAGTAATCACCCCCCAGGGGGGATGGCCATGCCACAATCCCTTCTCCTCAGGATCATGGACACGCACGCACACGCGCCTGGCATGAGATTAAGCCACCGGGTCCGGGACTCAAACCGCGGCTGACTGTATGGGAATCTGGTGACATAGACATTACGCCATCTGCTGGTCCCAGCACTGACCGACCTCTGCAGTGGCGGTGGTTATGGTTGACCTGCTCTGTGAAAGGAGTGGCAGACGCACTGCCTCGAGAGGACGGAAGATGTGCGTGGGCTCAGTGTCATAGAGTCCTGACTGCGTTTTCAGGAAAACTTTTTTTTTTTTTCCATTTTTACCCACTAAAGATTAGATTCTAAGAAGGTTTGAAAATTTAAGTTAGTGTAATGCTTAATTAGCATTTTTATTCATAGCTCTGAATGTTTTAAAATTTTTCAATAAAGATTGTTTCAAAATAATTAGAAATTCTTCCACATTTAATTTATTTGCCCCTTTCCTAACCAAAATATTTAACTTTTTCTTAGCAAGTCATCTTATTCTTGTTATACATTTTCTGGGATTTTAAAATGTTAAAGATCTTTAAACTTAAATGTAGTATATATTTATTTTTAACACTAAGGCTTTATTTTCATCTATGTGATTAGGCAGAGAATCAGAAGTTTCTTTGTTATATTTTTTTTTTTGAAGTTTTTGTTATAGGGTGCGTGCGCTTGTCAGAAAGAGAGACAGAAAGCAAGAAAACACCCTCCAGGGGGGATGGCCATGCTGCAATCCCTTCTCCATTCTCCTCTCAGGATCCTGGGCACGCATGCACACGTGCTCGGCGTGAGTTTAAGCCACCGGGTCCGGGACTCGAACCGCGGACTACATGGGAGTCCAGCGACATAGCCATTATGCTAACTGCTGGTCCCAAGAATCAGAAGTTTCTAAAGGAAGGATAAAAATGAGCATATTTGTTTCTATAATGAGAGAGGCCTTACTCAAATGGGAATTTTAAATGGTTAGTGCCTTTCAAATGAATTTATACAGCTTGTATTTCAATTCTTGTGTATACTTGTGTATTAGTGATAAAATGGCTAAAAATTTCTATTAGTATAGTTAAGCGTTAACTCTGAGAACCAAAAAGAATGTGGAAATACATTTGTAGATGCGTGAACATTTGCCTGTGTGTAAAGATGATAGGATATCGAGTAGTATAATGAAGCTAGTCATAGCCCAACCTTTTAAAGATGCCTTTGTTTTAAGCTCCAAAGGGAAAGAAAGGAGCTGCAATCAGAACGCGAGCGGAACCTGCAAGAACTTCAGGACTCTATCCGGAGGGCCAAAGAAGACTGTATTCACCAAGTGGAACTGGAAAGGTTAAAGATCAAGCAGATAGAAGAGGACAAGCACCGACTCCAACAGCAGGTTGGATAAAGTAATCGTGCTTTTACACTTTGAGTTTATTTGCATTTAGAAGTAATAGAAGTAGTTCACCAAAGAGTCATAAGTCAGTGGTTTAGACTGTTAATTATATTTATTGCACTGAAGTTCAAATATACTTTAAAATGGGATCTTCTTGGTTTTTCGTTTTGATTTCCTTTTTTTTGGTCAAAGGGCACACATGCTCACCAGAGAGGGGAAAAGCACCCCCAGTGGTCTCTGGCTGTACTGCAGCCCCTTCTTCCCTTCTTCCTCCCTCCCGTCGGGATTTGGGGCATGCACAAAACATTCAGCATGTTTCTCAAGCCACTGGTGCCCGGATTTCAACCGCAGTTGGACATGTGGGATCTGGCTCCTTCAAACACCAGGCTAAGGAGCTAGTCGGATTTCTTTTTTTCTCTAAATTAAAGCTAAGGGATATTGACTCATTTTCTTCCTCTTGTAACCATTTGCTTGAAAGTGTACTATATTTCAGGTGATGTCCAACACAAAAATTTTTTTTTTGATAAATCTCCTTTTAGCCGACATAAATGCTCTTCATGTAGCACTGGACTAAACTCAGTTACTCTCAGTCTCACGAGAGCACTGCCAGTGCTGCTCCGCATGCCCACCCCATTGCTCGGCCAGTGCCGCTCCGCTCCGCGTGCTCACCCCAGTGCTCAGCCAGTGCCGCTCCGCGTGCTCACCCCGGTGCTCAGCCAGTGCCGCTCC